GCTCAAAACAGCAAGCAAAAGGGGCTAAGAAAACTTGCAAACATGAGCTAGAAAGAGGGAGAAATCAACTCACCCTTGAAGACCAATCCTTTGCTGCCTCTTGGACCAAGAAAAGCTGCCTCCTAGCCTCTGAGAAGACCTCCAAGCTGCTGGAATTGAAGTGGTAGTGTGGTGCTAGGTGGTGATGAAGAAAAGGGTGTAGGACTTGGTGTTTTGAGGCTTAGAGTAGAGAGAGAGGGAGAATTGATGCAAGGCTCTCAAAACAAATTTTGTAACCCTAAAATCTGAAGGGGAGGGGCTGTATATATAAGCAAAAGGGGTGGAAAAGAGGGGGAAAAAAAGGGGGGGGGAAAACAAATCAAGTTTCCCCCCAAAATGGCCAAACCCTCGGACATGGGTGTAGTGGAAAACAAAATTCACTTCTAGGACACACTTGGGGAGGGGGGCATGGCCAGCTAGTTTAAAAGGGGAAAAAATTCATTTCACCAAATAGGTGGCTGGCCAGCTAGATTTTCTAGCCGGCCAGCTACTTTCAGGACAAAAAAAAAGGTTTCCGGGAAGAAAAGTGGCCGGTGGGTGATTGGGAAGTCCAATGGTGGCCATTCAAGTGTCCAAATTGAAGCCCCGGAAGTTAGCTTTCCAATGGCATAAACCTTACATTAAAATTCCTCCTGTGGAAAAAGTTATGCCAGTTTCCCTAAAGCTGCGCAGATTTCGGTCCAACCAGAGTGATGCCCTACTTCAATCAACCATATCTCCCCCGTCCGGAATTGAATTTAGGAGATTCTTTAGTGCAAAATGAAGCCCCGGGAGTAAGCTTTCCAACGGTGGTGGCCTCATAGTTTGATTCCAAGTATCCAAATGAACAGGCCCGATTCGGCGAGGGCTGCTCGACTTTCTTTTAACGGTTCATGCCCATTTTCTCCCCCGACTGGATTTCTTCCCTCTTCTCTTCTTTTCTTCAACTTCATACCCCTAAGTAAGGTGTTTTGAAAGATTTTCAAAGATTTCATCTCTCTTTCATTCATTTCGACTTTGTCCTTGCTCGGTTTATCGAAAAGCGCAATTTTTGACAAAATGTGAGCCTCGGAACATTACAGAAACTTTATTTCAAAAATGTTTTTGAAAGAGAGGGTTTTAAGTCTAAAATCTTTTGATCGAGATCGTTCTGGTCCAGAACAGGGATATGAAGTTGAGATTTGACTCTCTCTTTGCCGAAGAAATTGAACATTTGCCCTGCACATCTTTCTCCACCATGTAAATCATCAGTCGCGTCGAAGTCTTATGGACGGTCAAAAATAAGGTGTCTACAACCACTAGCACTATGTAACTACCAACCTACCACTATAATATAAAGAATGAAATTTTTAAAAAAAATTAAATATTAATAATACAATATAAAGAATGAAATAAAAAATTTATATATTTTAAATTTCAACTTCTTGTATATATCAAACAACTTGATTAAATTTTACACTTTAATTTAAGTACATAGCAAAATAGCTTTGCAGATTACAAAATATCAAACAACTTGATTGAATTTTACACTTTAATTTAAGTACATAGCAAAATAGCTTTGTAGATCACAAAATTTAACATTCAATTCCCAGTGCTTCATTTTCAATTTTAGCTTTGCAGATTACAAAATATCAAACAACTTGATTGAATTTTACACTTTAATTTAAGTACATAGCAAAATAGCTTTGCAGATTACAAAATATCAAACAACTTGATTGAATTTTACACTTTAATTTAAGTACATAGCAAAATAGCTTTGCAGATTACAAAATTTAACATTCAATTCCCAGTGCTTCATTTTCAATTTTATCATATTACACTTAAATTTCAAATTTATTTTTTTTTTTCATTTCTATCTATAAATCCAAGATCCAAACACTGTACCAAGCTAAAAGTACAAGAACTTCAAAGTTTACAACAGTATGTAATTCCAATTGTGAAACACTTATTCAAGTACATCAAATTGAAACAACTTTGTTATATCGTTTTAAAATTTGTTCAGAGCAGCCATCAAAGCACTTACTTCCTGATACTGGTCCAGATGCAATACGAGACAGTATCAGCCAGACAATCACCATTCCTCTCTCTCTCTCTCTCTCTCACGCACACACACACACAAAATTTCCAACTTATGGAGTAAGGAATCAAGAGAGATTGGTGCTGGAGGACAAAGCAGAAGTCTAACTTTGAAGAATAGTCATGTATCATCAAATACATAAACTTTTTTTTTAGAACAAAGCAAATATATTCATATATCAAGAAGTTTGAACGTTGATTACAGACTTAGCAATTAAGTGAGCTGTTCAAATAGCATTCCTAGGGACTTTACTGATAGAAAGGAAATTAAAAAACCTACTAATGCCCTTAATGTCATTTACAATAGTTATCTTATTCCAATCTGGGTCACGCTTGCCATTCAAAATGTCTACCAAAACTTGGCAATCTGTGAGAACAGATACCAAAAGGAAGTTTTTTGCCCTTCCCACTGCAAAGCCGCCAAACATGCTTTGGCTTCAGTCACCCGCGGAGACGGAAGTTGTAGCCAGTAACCTTCTTGCCCAATATGCTCCTGCCACATGTTGAAGCACACCCATGCCACTGCAGAACTTCAACCTTCGTCCTTCCAAGCTCCATCTACAACCAGAGTCCATACCTGCAAATCTGTGTTATTAATACAAGAGTTTGCAAGTATACAATTCAGTCTGTCATGATTATCAATGCAAGTGATCAGGGTATCAAAACCAGTGCTTGTGGACAAACATACGTGCTCTAGTGTTGTATTGTATAAACAAGAGTATTCAGTATCTCACTAACAGTAGAAGAAAACAAACTGCATAAAATAGAAGCAAGCCATCCCACATCTTTGCTTAAACAAACAGATGCCGATGCACTTTCTTCTCAAATAAACAGATGACAGATAATACAGTAATCCAAACATTTCAAGTTCAGCAATCCAGGCACCACTCTAGTTATCTAATGAATACCACAGCAAATAGAACAGCTCAACTAAATGACACAAGGCAAGCATGGGCAATAGAGCACCATCCTCCAAAATTGGTCAATTAGACATATGATGGGGAAATCACTAACCTGATCATGAAATTTTCCGTCTTTGAAAACTTCAAAGATGATCAACTAGAGACAGTATCTTCCCCCATAAATGCCCAGTGATGCTGTACAGGCACAAGAAACAATTAAATATCTTAAAAGGACGATATCAAAACTGCATGTATATAACAATCAAACAAAACTGGATAACAAAATCAGCGATCCAGCAGCTCAACGATCCTCAATTTTGTTTCAAAGATAGTGCTCACCACTTCAGCTTCCAACACCAAAGAATTACTTTTAGAAAATTTTCAAGGCTACCAAAGAAACTGGAAACGGAAACATAAAGATTACAAAAAATCAACTAGGCTATGCTGTAACTAGATAACAGATCAACCCTGACATGCAAACTAAGCTAAGAAATTTCTGTACATATATTCTACACAATACACATGAGAGAGAGAGAGAGAGAGCGCTCCTAACAGAAAAGTCAAAAAAATGGAGTGTGTCATGATGTTAAGAAGTTCCAGATTTCTTTCGTATTTTGACACTTCACCAGGATGCTCTGGTTTATTATCGTCGTTGTCATCAGTGTCGGCTCAATCAGTGTCATTGAAAGCCCTCCCATTCTCATCTTCACCTCCATATTCTGATGAACCATTTACCTCCTTACTCAACCCCATATTTTCAATCAACTTTGCTGCATCTGCACTGTCATTAACATCCCCACTGTCTTGCACTGCATTGTAAATGAATAAATAATGAGTCAGCTCAACTGCGGTGCTGTTTGGTGCAACTTATAATGCTGCTTATAACTTTTCTTATTTTGAGTCTCTGTGAAAGTGTTTGGTGCAGCTTTTACTTATAGCTTATGAGACAGAAATAGCTCAAATAAAGTTGAAAAAAGCTGGGGAAATCATTCTTTTAGCTTCTATTTATCATCAACTTACAGCTTTGGAAAAGCTGCACCAAACAGGCTCTAAGAATAATTACACAACTACTGCTAAAAACAGGGAGGAAAATATTCAAATCTTGCCATCAAATGAGAACTCCTGAACTTCAACGCTATTGTATGTCGTAACCTGGACCAATGGAGTTGAATTGTCATACTCACTAGCACCTCCCAATGATGATGCTGAAGCAACTTCAGGTTTGGTACTGCTTCAACTATATCACCGCCACCATCATCAACATGTTTCTCCGTTTTCTTCTTTATATTAGCTGAAGAAGCTTGAGATGCCACGGCTATGCCTGCATTGAACCATGTTCAGATGAAAAATTTAGAACCATTACTGCTAGATCAAATCCCAATCAGGTGAAGTTAATGAAGATAATCCAACTTGATCATTTACATATGGAATCAAAAGATATTCGCTATCTCTCCTTTAATTGCATTAGAGTACTTCCATAACTTCCATTTTAATGCCTTTTTTTCCCAAGTAGCTGGAAATTATGCTATGTGACCCCTCGGAAAACTGGTCCACCATGTATTCATTGACTCAGTTAACATTTAACAACAACAAAATCATATCCCAAGAAAAAGCAAGAAATAAAAAAATTAAGAAAAAAGGAAAATTTTTAAGGAGCAAATTTTCTAGGGTCAAAAGGCTAAAAGATTGGCTCAAAGAAGGTGATATTAATTCCGAATTATTTCACAGGGTTGCTAAGGGGGATGGAAAAAGAAATTTATCAGCAAATTAGAGGTCAAACAAGGGGCGTTTGTAGATAGGGAAGATCAAATTGTCAATAAGATTTTTAATTTTTATGCAAATCTGTTCTCTAAAGGCTGTGTTGAGAGACCAAGAATTGAAGGGCTTGGTTGGTCGCAGATTAATGAATCTAGGTGGTTGGAACAACCTTTTGATCAGGTGGAAATTAAAGAAGCAGTTTGTAAGATAAATTGATAGAAAGAGAATAAATTGTATGTATTATGATTGATATATATTTTTATATATTACAATGATTCCTATATATAGAAGAGAGGATGTGGGAAGAGAATAGGTGAGTGTGTAGTAGGTATGGAGTAGGTGAGGAGTAGGTGGAGAGTAGGTGAAGTAGGTGAGTGTGTAGTAGGGGGTAGTGGTAGGTGTGTAGTAGGTGAATTTTAACAACCCCCGCAAACTCAAGGGGAATAGGAACTAACCAACTTGAGTTTGGAGAGAGTAACAAAACAAGAAAATACATAAAAATAAAAGAGGATAGGAGACACTGTATGGTCATATCAGACCATTGGTGAAGACACTGGATGGTGGTGTCATAACGTTGTAGAGGACACTGTATGGTGGTGTCATAACGTTGTAGAGGACACTGGATGGCGGTGTCAGACCGATGTAGAAGACAGTTTATGGGGTCATGTCGGACCGATGTAGAAGACAGTTTATGGGGTCATGTCGGACCGATGTAGAAGACAGTTTACGGGGTCATGTCGGACCGTTGTAAAAGACAGTCAAGGGGGCGACTTAGGGAGTGCGCCAGTGCGCCATGCCCCATGATGAGATTATACGGCGATGGCAGCTTGACGACCAAGAATTCTACATCCACTGTTTGGGAGCCTGCTCGAACGGGTAGTGTGCTCTTTCCCAACGGGTACTCTGGATTGGTGTTAAAGCCGAATAGTGGATACGGGGCCGGGGAGAGATCCGATTCGGAGAAGTCGAGTTTGGTAAATGTCTTTCATAAAAAGGTGTGCCGGACATTATGGCGAGGCGCGTGACTACCTTGGCTTGCGCGCCCGTTTTGTCGTCTGGCGTCAAGTGGCGCGCGATGCGCGTGTCTGCCTTGGCTATTTAACCAAGACGGAGGCTGAGGCGAAGGCAGAGGCTGAGACAAAAAACCTGCGAAAATCCTTTGAAAAACCTCTTCCGTTTCTGAGAAAGAGATTCTGAAACACTCTGTTGCCCAGAAAATGGCCTCGTCTTCCCGTTCAGCTACCCAGAATATGGCCTCTTCGTCCCGTGGTCTGCTCACTCTCTTTCCCGACCTCAACGAGTCAACAAGAGAGATAACTGGTGCGGTGGCCAGTGAACCTCAACCAAGCGCATCTGGTTTTGCTTCGTTGAACTTTCCGATGCGGTCGGTGGAGCAAAAAACGGCGGTGCAAACGGATATTGAGGCCAATCAGTATACTTTGAAGTCATGTGTGGAGACCATGACGGCGGTCACAAACCTGTCGCACCGGCTGCAGAGTAGGACAAATGAGGTGCAGCAGTTAAACGCCCAACTGGCTCTGCTCCAACGCATGTATAAGGATGCGCGAGCAGAGATAAGTGTGCTAAAGGCGGAAAATAAGGAGCTGAAGCGGAAGGCCACCGTGATGTTCCGATTTGGAGGTCCGCCGTATGCTGCAGTGGAGGAGCAGGGAGTAGTGATCGTGCCCAGTGGAGTGGGAAACACGGAGGCAACACCGTCAAGGGCCGCCCAGGACGGAGACAAAAAGAAGAGACCGGCGGCAGAGTAGTGGAAATGAGGTCGGTGGGTGGCCGTCTGCAGAAAAGAAAACAAATGTTTTGGTGTTTGTTTTGTTTTTTTTGTTTTTTTTTTTTTGTGTGGAATGGTGAGCGGGGTGAATCCCTGATATGAATAAAACAAGTGTGTTTTTGCAAACTCGAATGTTGTGTTTTTTTTTTTTTTTTTTTTTTTTTTTTTTTTTTTTTTTTTTTTTTTTTTTTTTTTTTTTTTTTTTTTTTTTTTTTTTTTTGTGGTGGTGAAAATAAGAATAATAATAATAAATAAAATGAAGTGGTGGAAGCCCGTGGAATCAATGAAGGCTAGTATAATATATTGGAGTGGAGAAAAGAATGATGGGAATGTTGAGTATATAATAAAATAAAAATGGATATTTGAAAGAGATTAAAAAAGGGGTTTAGAGAAAATAAATAAAAATAATAGATTTGGAAATCAAACGGAAGAAAGAGAGAGGACAAGCCCACGTGGGTGGCTTTTTTTTTTTTTTTTAGAAAGATAAAATAAAATAATAAAATAAAGAAAGTGTCATAAAAGGGATCAAAATAATAAAATAAACAAAGTGTCATAAAAGGGATCAAAGAGCACATGGGTTCTGAGGTTGTTCATAATAATAATAAGAATAAAAGGAATTAGTGGAGAGAGGGTAATTAGGATTATAACTTGCTTTTGCTAGTGGGAGGTCCCACCAGCACTATGCACTTCAAAATTGTGGAATGGTGAGAACTCGAGAAAGCGGGGCTTCTTCGCTGGAATATTTCCGGGTTTTAGAAAGAAGTCGCCAAGCTATCAATATCAACAACCTCAACAGCACAAATATTCAAATGCTTGGCCAGTGCAAGAGAGTTTTGTGATTCCAGATGAAGATGAGCCTCCTTCTATTGAAACCAGAAGCCATACTCCGTGGAGGTGTTGCCCAGTGGAGAGCTCTTGGTTCTGGACTCTGCTAACAGTAATCTCTACAAGATCTCTTCTCCTTTGTCTCAATATAGCCGACCGAGGCTGGTTGCTGGATCTGCTGAAGGATACTCTGGACATATAGATGGGAAAGCTAGGGAGGCAAGGATGAACCACCCAAAGGGACTCGCAGGAGAAAAAGTCCATCTTGACTCAGTGACAGACCTAGATGGGGTAGAGAGAGAGAAGTTTTGGTGGTAGCATGAGTGCTCCTCAGCTCCGGCGATCACGACGACGGTGGTGGTGCCATCGCCGGCCACGATGTCTTGAGATTTGGAGAGTTCGACGAACATGGAAAGTGGGTCAATTCATGATATTATACGGAAGACCAAGAAGCTCCAGACTAAGGAAATTATAAGGATTGCTGCGGATGTGGCAGAAGGGATGAAGTTCATGAACGACCATGGTGTTGCATACAAAGATCTGAACACACAGAGGATCTTGTTGGAAGATGCAGCGGAGTGAAGGCATGCGTAGAAATCTCCAGCAGGCAGCAAAGGCAAAGTTGTCAGCCGGCTGCCCGCCGGTGAGAAAAAAATACAGGCCTAAATCTTATAGCTCTGATACCATGTAAGATAAATTGATAGAAAGAGAATAAATTGTATGTATTATGATTGATATATATTTTTATATATTACAATGATTCCTATATATAGAAGAGAGGATGTGGGAAGAGAATAGGTGAGTGTGTAGTAGGTATGGAGTAGGTGAGGAGTAGGTGGAGAGTAGGTGAAGTAGGTGAGTGTGTAGTAGGTGGTAGTGGTAGGTGTGTAGTAGGTGAATTTTAACACAGTTTTTGATTGTGAGAGAGATAAAGCTCCTGGACCTGCGGTTTCACCATGGCTGTTTTTTAGGATTATTGGGATGTAGTGAAAAGGATTTGCTAAGTGTCTACTGAATTCTATGAGAAAGAAGTGGTTAATCTGTGTGCCACTGCATCTTTTATATGTTTGATTCCTAAGAAAGAAGACTCGTTGAAGATTAGCGATTTCAGACAAATCAGTTTGGTGACACCTCTGTATAAGATTTTGGAATAAGTGCTTTCAAAAAGATTTAAGGACAACTTTGGGAAAAACAATTTCCTCGGTTCAAGGAGCCTTTGTGAAGGGTTAAGCAAATCTTAGGGAATAGGATTCTCTGCAAAACTATTATTGCAATAACGCAAAGATGATGGTGATTTGGGCTTAAAGCATCTACATACACTACCACTAATTATGTTTTGGGCTTAAATTACTTACCTAAACTACCATTGCAAGATTATTGCAAGGGTGATTATGGTAGACAATCCAAGTCCAAATTTAGATGTGATCTTGGTGGCTCATGAAGCAGTGGAAGAATACAGAGTGTTGAAGAAAGAAGGGCTCATTTTCAAAGTGGATTTGAGAAAGCATACAACCATGTGGAGTGGCAATTTTTGGATTTTGTAATGGGGAAAAATGGATTTGGGGATAGATAGAGGAAGTGGATTAGGGGGTGCTTATCGACTTGCAATTTGTTAGTCATTGGTAATGGATAGGCTGAGAAATCATTTAGGGTGTCTAAAGGTCTTAGGCAAGGGGACCCATTGTCACCTTTTCTCTTTAGTTGACCTATAGGGCTAGGAGGTTGGGCTAGTTGATGGGTTTACTATTGGGAGGGATAGGATTTATGTATCACATTTGCAGTTTGCAGATTATACTATCTTTTTTTCTTGGAAGAGAAAAAGAAGGTAGTTTTTTTGTTATCATTGTTGAAGATTTGCGAACTTGTCTCAAGACTTAAGGTTAATTTGCACAAGACAAGTAGTATAGTTAAATAAATTTTCAGCAAAATATATTGGTTGCATTGGCAAG